GAAAAGAAGCGTTTGGGTGTTATCTATGCAGTACAGTGTGTGATAATCACAAGAACTCCTTTGTTTTTTATTTTTCGGTAAAAGCTGGGACCAGTCTGAATACTGTTTTGGATAGCCCGAAGATTTTTCTAACAGATGAGGTGCATATCGCCGTTTCATGAGAATAGTTGATAATAGGGTTTCTGGAAAACTTGACCACTAAACTAAGTCCTTGGTTTTTGGTCAGAAAAGTTTGCAAACCATATAACCTGATAGAGCAAAGAATTCTGAGGAAAATAAGACATCTCCAAGCTGTCTATAAGGCTTTTTCACGCAACTGCAGTCGATGTATGAATGGCTACAAAGGACGTGAAAATTACCAAAACATTCCTGTGACAAAGGTATCTATCGACGGGCAAGGCACCATTCAGTAGGACCTATCGAATGGCAATGGTCCCGAGCGAAAAGCGATTTAACACCTAAAGAGGTTCCCTCGTTAGTAAAATAAGGTACTATGATCTCAGTAAGTTCTTGGTCACGCTACTGTTTCATTCTCTGATAGCCATTGTTAAATCCTGTTACAATCGTCACGAGCATATTTCAAAGAAACTTCGTTGATGGCAACAGCACGACAGCTAACATAAAATATACGATCGAAATTATTAATGCGCATCTTATATCATTAGGGAAAGTAACGAAGTTAGTTACTTCGTTACTAGTTACGAGCAAAGTAAAGGTAAACTGTCAATTAATCGTGCATTTAATAGCGCTTTTTTAGGCAGAAATTTTAATTTTGCTGATTAATCGCGTGTTCTTTTTGAGAAAAAATACAGATAAATCTAAGACAGCTTATTTTCTTATACCTATAAACATTTAACTCAATTTTACTCAGAAAGTTTTGTTGATTTCAAGATATTGATTAACTTTCTAAAATGCATTATTTAAGGCAACAACATTTTTGGTATTCGGTTATACAAATTATTCACTTGAAATGTTTAATGTAAATGAAATTCATACATAAACGAGTGATTCAACTGAATGATATTATTATAAACTATTATCCATAAGTCAGTTGAAATAAGCTTAAAATTACGAAAGATTAAATTCAAGGAATATTTAATCTACTGGTTCTATACTGAGAAATGGTATCTTATTAAATCGGTGTTTATACATAAATAGAAATAGATGAAGTTTCTAGAATGAAATTTCTAACATTATTGTCTTTTTCTCTTCTTTAAAAATACATATTTTTCTCCAAACAATTATCTTAGAATAAATAATACATTCTTATTGTATTTAGACAATCATTCTGCTATTACATTAATAAGATAAATAAATAAATAAAAAAACAAAATTATCTGTCAACATTTGGACATGTCTAAGATAATGATTGCGTATGTTCGATACATTTGTCCATATGTGAACATCATACTTTGTAAAGAGTTTGTCATCTTTATTATTTTTTGTATTACTGGCTGACATATATAATAAACAAAACAAAAAAAGTTTTTAGTTTCTCTCTATTAAGAAACAAAAAAAAAAAGAAAAGCAAATGAGTTTTTGTGTACAGAGAACGCTTCTAGTAAAAACAAAACTTAAGAAAAACAATAACTTTATTAAAAACAAGAAAAACATCAAGATAACCCAATCTTCATAAGAAGTGTGCAATAAAAGACATAGCACATAGCAATCAATTGAAAATTTTATTGAAATGAGTGTGATTTAATGTGAAGTCATTAATATTTAACAAAAATGTCAAGTTTTAAAATACTTCACTTTACTAATATTAAGATAATTGAAGAAGTTTTTCTGTTTCAAATGAAAAGCTGACATTGAAAATGAAATAAATCTTAAACATAGAATTAATATTAAATGTGCAAAACGTGAGCAATACAAATAAATAAATGACAATAGAAAAGTTTAATTTCAACAAGGTTTCCACGGTTTTTCATGAATACTGCTTACATTTGAACGTTGAGAGGCGATACTAGAACGACTGCTCTGTTTACTAGCCATTGTTGATGCACGAGATAGACGACCTATGATAAAAATATTGAATAATTTAAAAAATTTTAATTTTATTATTCTATATAAGTAAACAATACTTACTTCCTGAATCTGATGGTAACAAATTTAAATCGAGTTCATTAGTTAATTTTTCAATATCATCTGATGTAAAATGTTCTCGTTGAGGTAATGATATATAAGGTCCTTGATTTGGTCGCTGTGATTGACTTGTACCTGGTGCTGACATTGTACTATTATGATCAATTGATTGTGTTCTTTTTATTTTTATACTAGGTGTTTGAGGTTTTGTCCAAGATGCTGGAATTGAGCCAGTTAATAAACCTTCGGGAAATTTTCGTGCACAATATCTTAAACCTAAAATAAAAAAGAAATAAATGAGAGTCACATAATTTTTAAACATTATTTTTTAGAATATTTATTACCGCCTGATAATAAAAATACATTGTTGTAACCACGTTCAACTATAATAGTGACTGCTTTTGGAGCAATACGTTCATCATCATCATAAAGTACAATAATTTTTCCTTTTTTATTTTTCTAATAAAGATAAAGTTAAGGACATTTAGATTTATATCTTTATAAATGCTGCAACTCTAGCAATTTTCTCATTCTAAACGAACTTTGTTCTAAAAAGCTATGATAATATGACGATAATGTAATGTGTACTAAGTGTCATTCTAGTTTAAAATATTTAATTTGTCACCAAATAATTCAATTTTAATTATATGAATGGACTGTCAATAAGATATACAATACTTTCATTATGTTCAACATACTTTAGAATAAAACAAAAGTCGATAAGCTTTGATAGATGGTAAATTATGATAGGGAACTGAGTGTAAAACCTATTATATATCAAAACATGTAATACTCGTTCAACTCAAATATGCAAATGACTCACTCATTAATAAAGGTTACAGCACATTGAATGAGAATGAACAAACACCCCGATAGAGATGTTAATTAGTTTTATGTAAAAAAAAAAGAATATAATAGAAAAAAGGTAATAGAAAATTTTCTGTCTGATTAGGCAGATAAAAAACCACTTATATATATATATATGTGTGGATTTTTTCATAAAAAGTATCAAACATTCACTTTTAAACAGAAAACTTGGTGAAGAGATCTACAAGATCAAAACTTTCCATTTGATTTATTATTAGAGGAGTCTATTCATATTGAGGCTAAAAAAATAGACTTGTAACAAAATATCAGCTGGTCTGATCGTTACCTGTACTGCTCTCAATGTAAGTAAAATCTGACTTTAATGTTTTTATTTTGATCTTACTTAATAGTTCAAGATAGACGTTTCATTCCTCCATAATAGACTTCGTAAAGTACAAAATCATTTTTTGCCAGATTTGCAGTCAGTCATCTCGAACGAGTCTTGATCGATAAAGATTTACCTAAAAAAATGAATTATCGTGTCGATCTCTAAAGTATTTTCTTTTATGATTCTTTTATAATAATGAACTATGTACATTTTAGTTTAAAGTCAAAATTAAAAATCTTACATTCGCTAATTAGAAAAAAAATGGTTTACAAATCTTTGTATTATCTGACAATTTTTCTTTATATATTTAAAAATCAAGTGAATTCGAATGGTATATGCATATTAGAAAATCGTACAATGACATTAAATATATGTAAAATACCTCCTAAATTAACAATACCTGTCTGCATTGGTGTATGTGAAACAAATCATCGTTATTCATATGAATATCAACAATTTGTTACACGAACATCATCATGCACAGTTACAAAACATGTAACAGAAACGTTTGTATGCGATGATTCTACACATACTGCTGTCAAATTAATGATCCCTACAGAATGTTCTTGTTCAAAACGTTATTGTCAACATCACAATAATAACAATGGTCATAGACGAGTACGCCGAAAGAACAATAACTATTAGTACTGTTGTTGCATCTTTATTATTATTTATGATGTACTCAGGAGTTTTGGAATATACCTCAGAGAGGAGTAAAACTTTGTATTTCATTTCTTTTTATAATATAGAGCAAGTACTCAGAAATAATCAATTACTTAAAAGGATACATATGCTAATAACTCTTTTGTTTCATTATTTTGGCATCTTGATAACATAGCAGATGGATAATGATGAGCTATGTGAATGAAATGAAAACAATAAACTTATAGAAAGACGTTTTCTTCTATAATAATCATCCTATACCTCCGATAATATGATTTAAATTGTAGTCATCTCTATCTCTTAAATCAACGATAAGATAAGGTCGTTCTTCATATTCAAGATCAACTTCTTCCATAATTGGTTTAGAGCGTCCATGACCGTAAACATCCATTTCTCCTACACCTCGGATAACGCTAATATTAAAAAGATCAAACATACAGTGAGAGATAAAATATAAAATCACTTATTAACCTTTGTAATGTTGATCTTGACGATTCCATTGATACTTGACTATCTTGAGTATGTGGCCGTGATGAATTGATTCCATCATTATTATTCATATAGCTATTATTATCTGGTAATGCCATTTGTGGTGCTGATGAATCTATTCAAGAAAAATAATTTTTTGTTCTTGTTTAATATATACAATATACTCAAACATACCAGACGTATTCTTTGTTGGGCTATCAAGTGAATTAATTTCAACAACTTGAATTATCTGAAGAAAAAAAAGAAAAGTTCGATAATTAAAAAACACACATTTAACAAATATCACTCTAATACATACCAATTGAACGAGAGTGTTGATATTCATACGTTTAAAAATTTCTCCGGCTATTTGTTTGCTAGCTTAAATATAGAAATTCAAATAAAATGACTTTCTTTCTGCTAACAAACAATCAATACGAGATTATTTTTGTCTCAAATTCAATCTCAACCATGAATACATATCGATTTATTTAATATTTTTTTATTTTGTACAGACTTCTTCATGTTTACATATGTTTATATAGATCAGCTAGTGTACTGAGAACAAGGTACTCGAACAGATACTTTTCCACTAATAATGTCACATAAGTAGTCGAAAATATTTTCGATAATTGAGTACTCTAAAGTAGTTTGTAGATATCTATTTAAATACCCTGGTGAAGTATATTTTCGTATTCGACTATCTAAAAGAGTATCCTAACGATATATTTTCATATAATCAAGGCAATTTTTAGTTAATCATTTTAAATAGATTATCTGCAGGTACTTTTGTGTACCAGACAATTCGACCTGATGTATGTCAAGGGAAGGAAAGTATTTTCTAAAAACAAGTGATGTCTATGGGGTAGATGAACATGCACAATAAAGTGGCGATCGAAGTATGCACAGGTACCTCAATCAAATTTTTTCAGTAATTGAGTACTCAATTAATCTACTTAGGTCTGTAGAGATTTATTCCATATTAAGGTACCGTGGATTCAGTATATTCATTAGGATGCTCGAAAATGAACATATTTATTAGAGAAGTTATATGGAATAAACATTCTCTGAAAGTTTGTGAACATTATTAATCTAGTGTGTTGGTCCTCGAGAAAAGTTTAAAATGAGTTCACTGCCAAAAAAAAGTGTTTTGATAAATCACGCTGATGCGTACAATCAAAATGCGTACATCGCACGTAATGAAGGCCCACTTTAGGTGCATTTTCTCATAATTTCTACTGTTCGTCGCCTTGATGCCTTGACAAAACACCTCTAAATCACTACTTTTTGTAATAAAAATAGCTTAGGTGCTTTCGATAGACATTACTAACACATCAAAACGTCACAAAACATTAGCTACGGTCAAAAACTTAGTCACCCCATCAACCATGGTTAAATCACATAGTTGCATTCAAAGCGCCAGAAATGCACTCTTGTTAGACACAAAGTCATTCCAGTACCTAGTCAAGATATCTCTGGCAAAAGAAATGGAGAGATAGCATTTTCAAAAAAGTGCTCTATCTACTTAGGGTTATCCAAAAGTAGTGGTGGAGGTACTTTATTTGCGTATAGAAAGCTTGAAAAAACTTCAATCTGTTTTCAAAAGATGCGCAATTTAATTCTCTACATAATTGATGTTGACTATATTTTACAGTCATGAAATTCTAAATTTCTAGAGGTCAAACACTTCGATGGAATCAAGTTCAGCCAGTTCCCACTGAATTTTGGAATTGTTTTACGAGTTTTTCTGTGCTAACGACACATATCGAGAAGATCAGATATTCATTTTTCGATAGTGCACCAACAGCTCTTTCAAAGATATATAATATATTCTCGACCCGATATCTGTTGCCGTAGCAAAAATTCTGTTATTTGCTCATGAAAATCGCTCATTTGCAGCAATTAACTATTTCCTAACTCTATAAAAATGTTTGTTCACTTTTTCTGTAGTAGGAAGAAAGGTAAATCGTTTTCGTATAAAACTTTATATTAATGATCTTTTCTGAGCTATAAATGGCTTTCTCATAATATTTTTTTCTGAAGACAGCAGTTGGAAGGGAAAAATCACGCTATTTTTCGAAATATGACTTTTAGAAAAAATGACATTCAACAAGTAGGAAGTAGCAATGAAAATATCTAAGTATATGCAATCAGTAGACATTTTTTAAGAACTATCTATTGGTGAGTCATATTTTATGAGCCTGATATTTGTTGGGGTACTACACACGAATAACTCCAAAATTCAGTGAGAACTGCTTGAACTTGATTCCATCGAAGTGTTTGGCCTCTAGAAATTTAGAATTTCATGACTGTAAAATATAGTCAACATCAATTATGTAGAGAATTAAATTGCGCATCTTTTGAAAACAGATTGAAGTTTTTTCAAGCTTTCTATACGCAAATAAAGTACCTCCACCACTATTTCTGGATAACTTTAAGTATATTGTTTCTTTGTCCATTATACTGACTATTATACTCTTGAACATACTATTTTTAATCTGTTGCTTATTTGCTTAATTATACTAGACTCAAGGCTAATTTGATTAACTCATGTGTTAGATTTGATCGATATCATTTATGCTTATCCGCACAAATGATACTGGTGCTGGTAACGGTTCAATGATGCAGCTTCAACTACAGCTGATCTGTTAATATTTATAATATCCTGGCACGCATATTAATGCCGGAAATAGCTTCCAGCAGAAGAATTCACGTGAGGAGATAATCTAAAATGGAATTGACTGTGTTGATGTTTCCATTAGATGCGTAGTGAAACGTCCACCTTATCTATGAATTTGTATACACAATTTTCTCTGTTTTAGTAAAACAATTTCACGATATTTAATTTATATCCCAATTTAATCGATTATATCGATAAAAATGGTAGTTTGCCCATTCACTGCTCCATACATTTACTTAGATGTATCTGGAAGTTAGAAATCCCATAACTAACAAATAATTAAGTTTTCATTTTCTTAATCTGTCTATATCAAAGAAGAGAAACTAGCATTCTTTCTATCTATTTCTTTATCCCAGATAGACTTATTCATCTCTTTTCTGCATGTTCTTGGCCGTAGTCCGCTTTTCTAAGGCATTCCGGCGTATTTAATGCATTTGGAATGCTTTAAGGACATCGGGATGCTCTACTTTATGCATCAAAAATGCATCTGATTTACATGAGAGAATACATCCACGAGGTCTCACGAAGTCACTATGAGTGCATAAAATTGGAATTCAGACATCTTCGTAAGGTATCGTGACGCATCTTTTACATGAAAATATCTTCTCATTGATAAAAAAATGAGGTTGTCTCTAAGACACCTAAAGTGTATCTATTTTTAGAAAACACACCTTTTTCACAGTGTTCAACTTTTATTTTTTCGAAATTTGTGTAGATTAAATTTCCTTCATTAAATTCTAAAATAGATGGTGTTAAGTATTTTCTATTACTATTTTATTAGCACGAAGAAGAAGAATTATTTTGAATTTATTTCCTTGTTCACCTATTCATTTCACTGATCTTTCATTTTTTTTTGGATGTAATCGAATTCAAAATAATTGTACAACGGATATGACTTTAGTTATACGTAATGTTAACTCACGTATGAAAGTAAAAAAAATGAATCACTTTTTTTTCTTCTAAGTTTTAATGCTTTACATTTCTTAATTTCTCTCTTGTAATAAAGTGATGTAAATTGTACTCATGAAACAACCAAATTAGAGTTAAGCATATAATGTATGCAATGTAAAAGATTTATATTAAAAATGAGTAAAGATTTTCTTTTTAAACCAGTCTACATTAATTAAATTTATTTGAGGTAGATTTGAAGAGCAAATTATATTTTTGAAAAAGAAAATATTAATCAATACGTTCAATGTCGTTATTCTATAATTCTATTCAAAATAATGTTCTTGTGTGTGATTTACGATAAATTTGACATTTATTAAACAATCATTTACATCCTTCATCACTCATTCTTAAGTCAACAATTATAAAGTAGAACTTGCTTCATCTATCAAAAATGAAACTGATGACGATTATTTATGAATCGTATACAAACTCTTAGTTTACAATGCAAACCTTTTTTGTCCAAGTACAATCATTAACTTAGGTATGCACCAGTTACAGTTTTTTACCAGTTAACTGTACTTGTAAAACTGCTGATAACTGTAACTGTGAAAATTGTAACTAACTGCCGGCAAATATACTAGAGTAAGTTATTCTTCTACGATTTGCATACATTTTAAAAGTAGAGACATTCTTAAAATGTATGCAAATCGTAGAAGACTAACTCACTCTAGTATATTTGCCGGCAGTTATGAGCAGTTACAATTTTTACAGTTACACTTATGACAGTTACAGTTATAACAGTTACACAGTTATGACAGTTACGGTTCTACAGTTTTACAGTTAACTGTAACTGGTGCATGCCTACATTAAGTTATTCAGTTAAGAAATTAATTCGGATATATCTTATGTTTGAGTTGTCATCTAGTGTCCATTTTAAATCAAGTATCAGACATGGTGTCTGACAAAATGTAGAATAAAAGTCTAATATGATAGAAATAATCTTACATGCACGAATTTCTTCCGCTTTTTCCAAATACTTTGTCAAACTTGCACCTGAAAAAAGTTAACGATCTTTAAATTTACAAAATAGATGAAAATAATTGGAAAGATTACCTGTGTCGATTGTTGGTTTGACATTTTCGTATTTTGGATTTCGAGGAATTCGTCTATCCAGAATCTGAAGAAATTTAACCAGTTAAAGAAAAGTTCAAAAATAAAATTTAACTTACATTCATCGTTTTTGGACGTGTGGATGTTATGGTTGACATGATTAAACTTGTTTTAAATTAAAAAGAAACAAACTCAGACAATTTTATTGATCCATCTAAAACCAAATATTGAAATAAATAAACATACGATTCATTTGCAAGAGGCTTGGAATAACATGACATTATTTTTATTAACCATGATATGAAATGTAAGCAAACTTTAACAAGGAATTCAGAAAATGATATTCTTATTGTGTAAGTACGATCTATTGATCAAGTAAATAAGTTTTGAAAAGATGAAACTTTATCAACGTTTTTTTGAACATTAAATTAAAGTTTATCATTTATTGAATAGCTCAACGTATCATAGTTTAATAAAGTATCTATACAAAAAATGAGAAAGACTCAGGTGACAAGCAGCAAACTTAATCATGTTCTAGAAAGGAATCTCAATCTCAGCAAAAAAACTGTAAACAAAAAGACAAGTCTTTTGTCTGCTTTCAAATGTTTTTCAGGAACCATAAAAAAGTAAACTTTTGCCTGGCATTAAAATTTGAACTTTTGTTT